TGATTGATCTTCTCCTGCTTTTATCATCAAAGAGAAGGGAGGGAAAGGTTTCCTCTTGTGTAGTACTTAAATATGCGGTGAAAAAAGTTTAGGGTGTTATTGGGTTTTTTTCTTTTTCTGTCTGTCGTTATCACCAGGTTTGCACAAAAGAAAGACCTAATGTGAGGACTTCGTCGCCATTAGCATGACAAATGAGCGGAGATTCAATTTGTTTCTTTAACATACTGAAGGTGCAAATCAAATTAAGAGCACAATGTGCCGTTGATGGCAATATCTAAAAAATTATCAGATTGAATTAATTAAGAAATCACTGTTTCTGGTGGGCACAGTGTGAAACAGTGAAATTACTCTGAGACAGATAAAGGAAAAAAGAGATTATAAGATATTTCATGTCATCATGGTGATGGTGAGGCCTGCAGACGCCTCATAGTGGGATAAAAATTGCTAGGACGCTCTGCAACCAGCACGCTGCTTACTTTAATTAACTTAAAGTGCCATTTTCTTGCGTGGTGGAGCTCAGTCTTTGCAGGAGAATACAGGACTGAGAAACTCAAACAGAGAACTTTTGAAGTCACAAACACGCACACAGGGGCTGTTTGTGTTTGCAGCTGCTTAATGGTTTTTGGTCCATCTGGGCGAGCCGGCCAGCTTGTGTCCATACTGTACGTGCGCATGTTCTCATCGAGCTGTTAACCTCAGTGGGACATTATAAAGCCACAGATAATGAGCTTTAACGTTCTATTTCATCAAGAGGAGCAGTGCAGACACCTGAGGTCACAGAAAGCAACTTGGCCTGAAAACAGATTACACAGCGCAGGCATGCAGGTAATTATCAAGGCAACCATAAATCGGTGGAGAGGCAATAGTTTCCCTACTGTAGCAGTGCAGTGGCTGGATTTGGTGTTTATATGAAGATTTTGGTTCTCAGCACTGGATAAAATAATATATGATAAAATAGATAAAAAATATATGAAGGACCAGAGATACCGTATGAGCCTAGCTGTGCACATATTTACAATTTATTAGACGCTTTTAATTTATATGCTGCAACATATTTGTTTTAGTGAAAAAAGTTAAACATCACAACAAATTAATACCTGGATTAATAGCCTGACTGACCCAATATTTGGATCAGTCAGGCTAATAAATCAGGTATTAAATAGTTTACTAAACAATTGAAAACATTCACATTGTTAGTGTCTGCTCTGACCCCTGGTGTTTATTTATTTTTTTTTTTTTGTTAACAGTTATTTAAGTATCAAAACTAAAGGAAGGAAGAAAAGAAGACTTCTGTCTGTCTCCAAAACCGACTTTACCATGAGCTACAGAGGATACAAACACGTTTTAATTTTAATCTTCATTTAATCTTCTTAAAATAATCCAAACAAAAAATATTTTTAATTTGGGCCAAAACATATTTTATCACTTAATTAGATCACAATATTAGGGCTACAATACATAAAATTGGGAGAACATTACTTGTTATATGTACTTAAGTAACCAATAATACAGTAGTACCCTGGTGTGGAACACTCTCTCTCTCCTGGGGATACTCTCTACCATCCAATCTAGCTCCTTCCAGAACTTCTCCTTTTCTTCCAACTCACAGCCCACCTGTGGGGCATAACCACTAACAACATTAATCATCTCTCCTTCTATTTCTACCTTCACACACATCAACCTGTCTGACTCTCTTTTCACCTCTACCACATTTCTTACATGTTCTTCCTTTAGGATCACCCTTACTCCATTTCTCTTCCCATCTGAACCATGATAAAACAGTTTGTAGCCTCCTCCAATGTTTCTAGTCTTACTGCCCTTCCACCTGGTCTCCTGCACACACAAAATATCTACTCTTCTTCTCTCCATCACATCAGCAATGTTAGTGGTTATGCCCCACAGGTGGGCTGTGAGTTGGAAGAAAAGGAGAAGTTCTGGAAGGAGCTAGATTGGATGGTAGAGAGTATCCCCAGGAGAGAGAGAGTGGTGATTGGAGCAGACCTAAATGGTCATGTAGGGGAAGGGAACAGAGGAGATGAGGAAGTGATAGGCAGGTTTGGTGTTAGGGAGAGAAACGTAGAAGGACAGGCAGTGGTAGATTTTGCAAAGAGAATGGAAATGGCTGTGGTAAACACATATTTCCAAAAGAAAGAGGAACATAGGGTGACTTACAAGAGTGGAGGCAGGTCCACACAGATAGATTATATTCTATGTAGAAGATGTAATCTGAGGGAGATTAGAGACTGTAAGGTGGTGGCAGGTGAGAGTGTAGCCAAACAACATCGGATGGTAGTGTGTAAAATGACGATGGAGGTGACAAAAAGGAAGAGAGTGAAGACAGAGCAGAAGATCAAGTGGTGGAAACTAAGGAAAGAGACATGTTGTGAAGACTTCAGGAAGGAAGTAAGGGCAGTTCTGGGTAGTGTTGAGATATTCCCAGATGATTGGGAGACTACAGCTGCAGTGATGAGGGAGACAGGTAGGAAGGTGCTAGGTATGTCCTCTGGGCAGAGAAAGGAGGACAAAGAGACCTGGTGGTGGAATGAGGAGATCCAGGAGAGTGTGCAGAGAAAGAGATTAGCGAAGAAGAGATGGGACAGTGACAGAACAGAAGAGAACAGACTGGAGTACAAAGAGAGGACAAGGGAGGTGAAGAGGGAAGTGGCCAAGGCCAAACAAAAGGCATATGAGGAGTTGTATGAGAGTTTGGAAACAAAGGAAGGAGAAAAGGAGTTGTATAGATTGGCGAGACAGAGAAATCAAGCTGGGAAGGATGTGCAGCAGGTGAGGTTGATTAAGGACAGAGAGGGGAATGTGATCACAAGTGAGGAAAGTGTGCTGAGAAGATGGAAGGAATACTTTGAGGAGTTGTTAAATGAGGAAAATGAAAGGGAAAGTAGAAACGAGGAGCCAGAGACTAGTAGGAAGAAGGTAGATCAGGTTAGAAAGGATGAAGTTAGAAAAGCCCTGAAGAGGATGAAGAGTGGAAAGTCAGTTGGTCCTGATGACATACCAGTGGAAGTATGGAAGTGTTTAGGAGAAGTGGCAGTAAATTTCCTGACTGGTTTGTTTAACAGAATTTTAGAGACTGGCAAGATGCCTGATGAGTGGAGAAAAAGTGTTCTGGTGCCAATTCATAAGAAGGGTGATGCACAGAGTTGTAACAACTACAGAGGGATAAAGTTGATGAGCCATACAATGAAGATTTAGGAAAGAGTAGTTGAAGCTAGGTTGAGGCAGGAAGTGGAGATTTGTGAACAACAGTATGGTTTCATGCCTAGGAAGAGTACCACAGATGCAATATTTGCCTTGAGGATGTTGATGGAGAAGTACAGGGAAGGTCAGAAGGAGCTGCATTGTGTATTTGTAGATCTAGAAAAGGCATATGACAAAGTGCCAAGGGAGGAATTGTGGTTTTGTATGAGGAAGTCAGGAGTGGCAGAGAAGTATGTTAGTTTGGTGCAGGACATGTATGAGAATAGTACAACAGTAGTGAGGTGCGCTGTTGGGAGGACAGAAGACTTCAAAGTGGAGGTGGGACTACATCAAGGATCGGCCCTGAGCCCCTTCTTGTTTGCTGTGGTGATGGACAGATTGACAGATGAGGTCAGACAGGAGTCCCCATGGACTATGATGTTTGCAGATGACATTGTGATCTGTAGTGAGAGTAGGCAGCAGCTAGAAGAGAACCTAGAGAGGTGGAGGTTTGCACTAGAAAGAAGAGGAATGAAGGTCAGTCGCAGCAAGACAGAGTACATGTGTGTAAACGAAAGGCAGAACAGTGAAATAGTGAGGCTACAAGGAGCAGAGGTGGTGAAGGTGCAGGAGTTTAGGTACTTAGGATCAACTGTTCAGAGCAGCGGAGACTGTGGAAGAGAGGTGAAGAATAGAGTACAGGCAGGATGGAACAGCTGGAGAAAAGTGTCAGGAGTGATCTGTGACAGAAGAGTGTCAGCTAAGGTGAAGGGAAAGGTTTACAGGACAGTGGTGAGACCAGCCATGATGTATGGTTTAGAGACAGTAGCAATAGGCAGAAGACAGGAGGAGGAGCTGGAGGTGGCAGAGTTAAAGATGCTAAGATTCTCTTTAGGAGTGACAAGAATGGACAGGGTCAGGAATGAGGTCATTAGAGGGACAACACAGACAGGAAGGTTTGGAGAAAAAGCTAGAGAAGCCAGATTGAGATGGTTTGGACATGTGCAGAGGAGGGACAGTGGATACATTGGTAGAAGAATGTTAGAGATGGAGCTACCAGGTAGGAGAAAGAGAGGAAGGCCAAAGAGGAGATATATGGATGCAGTGAGGGAGGACATGCAGATAGTTGGAGTCAGAGTAGGAGATACAGAGAACAGGGAGAGATGGAAATCAATGATTTGACAACCCCTGGAAAAAAAAGGGACAAAGCCGAAAGAAAAAGAAGACCCTGGTGTGGAACACTGCTCAAAGACCCTTTCAAGGGTCAGACACTTGATCGAACACCATTATGCTCATAATGAGCTTTTAAATGGAATTATTTAAATGTCTCATAATATACACTATTAGATTAATAAACGCTGAGCCTGTGCCCTCTGAGTGGTCAGATGTGTGCTCTCTCCGCTGTGTTTCACCTGCTCTCAGCAGCTCTAACACAAGCAGACATGTCACAGCTGGGTAAGTGTGAATTGAATCTGCTCACTTGAATCCAAATGAGGCCCCCAACAGCCAAAATGATCCACTAATGTTTTGTTCGGCTTAATTGAGCATTGTCTCTTCAACTTAGCCTTGCATCTTCATCCTGCGTCTAATAGCCCCAGGCTCCCCGAAACTCTATTTACTTTGCTGGCAAAGTTACAACACAGAAATAAAAACTTTATAATGCCATGGGAGCAGGGAAGCTGCCATCAAACAGTAACACAGAACAAAACATCTGCCAAACTAATAAAACTGACATGAACAGACATTGAAAATCAATAACCCACTGCACATAAACGCAGCACTGGACACCGCAGGCTTTACTTTACCTGCAGAGTGAGTCCTGGCGACAGACTTTCCATAGCTCCAGACAGTTGGGTTTTTCCTTTTCTATGTAGGAGCAGTCGGGAACGATTGTCTGCCTGCGACGTTCAGCACAGCCCTCAGTCTGGCAAGGGCAGAAGAGCAGACGGTGGCTGAACTCGGGGTGCATGCGGTCCAGGAACATTCTCAAGGCTCTGTGGCACCGCTTCTTGCTGCAGGTTTCACCCTTGCTGGAATCTCCCTTGCTGCAGGTGGCAATGTAGCTGGAACGTTGCTTTTTGCAGCTGTTGTTGAGGTTGCAAGCTTTGGCTGCATCCAGACAAGGGTTGCAGTTTTTCTCAGCAGGACACTGAAAACCTTTGGGTGCAACTGTGAGCATCCCTGAAAGGGATACACATACAAGGCACATTAGTTACTTAGAGGTTACATACAAAGTAAAGGTGACACATGTAAACCATAGAACACCTTCCCCACTTTAAAATACAGCAGCTTTAGGGGAAGCAGTATCATTGTTCTAGACCAGAGGTTCTTAAACTTTTTAACCTTGAGGCCCAAATGTTATAGTACAAAGTGGACCAGAGCCCATTAAATATTAGATTTGATGAATTTGGAATTTCACAAAAATGTCTTCTTGTTTCAAAAACCTCGCCATACTTTTTGCTACAGCTAGCATACAGAAGAGAACAGTCCTCTTCTCTGTATGTAACATAACATATATACATATATGTTATGGAACGTAATTTCGATACCTCTGTATGTTCTGTACATGTGAAGGTATTGACAATAAAACTGACCTTGACCCTTGACCTTGATATATATAACTTTTTTTCAGCAGCCCTCAAGGTGGAACTGGCGGCCCAAATTTGGGCCACAGCCTTATGGTTAAGAAACACATGGTCTGTAATTTAAAGCAAACATAACTTTCGACAAAACTGTGCATAAGAAAACAAATTTCCTTTTTTTAACTTCAATATTACTAAACCCATTTTCACGGTTTACATTGGAAAAAAAAAAAAATCAAAACAATAATCCCTCAGTCTACCATCTTCAGGGACTTGGACTTGGACTCTTAAGGAGACGCTTTAATATCATCTTTGCTTTTTGGTTTTTCCAGCTAACTGAATAATTGATTTAGTCTGTTTCAGAGCCGATGTGAAATATGAATGAATGAAGCAATATTTCCAAACTGTGTGTGAATAAATCATTCATTTCCAGGTAACATTAAGCTGCAATTAAAATCGCATCATATGTAATAGTATTGCAAGATGTAGGCTGCAGTGTAAGTTGTTAGAGATATTTAATTAATTAATTGTTGTGTTTTTTTGTTTTGGTTTCTCATTATAAAAGAATTAAGCAAATTTTAATGAGTCTTATAATAATATAAAGCAGAGGTCAAAATACTGATCAAAGCAAATTGACGGGATTTCTGGCCAGCAGGAAAAAAACAAACCACTAAATACTGTATCATCTGCTCCAAACATGTTCCTCTCAAGGACATGGCAAAAACTTCATTCAACTTTAAGTCAAGTACATGATTAACTTCCTACATTTTTACCACTGTAATTACAGAATGAAACATTGCAATTACGCCTCTGACTGTATATCACATCCGTGAAAAACCAATGGAGTTTTTTGGAGTGTTCTAAAATACTGCATATAGTCTCAGTGCAAAATGAAAAAAAATACAATTGTTCTTGAGATATGCCAGTAATAAAACAGAGCCATGTTCACTGATATAGCCCTCTCTTGAATTCAGGCTATATTTGTGAAGTTAACCTTAGCCTGTAAATAATGATATTTCAGAGGTCGCAGCCACGTGGTGACAGAAATTCATCTCTTATTCAACAGAACCAATCTCACTGAGTGTCTATCAGACAGCCTGGAACAAGAAGAAGTCCATTTATTTTAAAGGAAAGAAGGTCTGCTGGTTTCACGGCGCTCTTTCTAAATGGTACATTATCCCCTTATCAATCCTAGAAATGGGGGTGCGTAGAAGACATCACATTGCAACCCCTCCCCAAAATTAATGATTTTGTGGCTTCAGATCACATCAGATAAAACAGAAGTCACTCCCAGTGAACAATAGCTGAGACATAATATAAGAAGCTCATCGCACAGGGAAGAAAATACACTCAATCTAGCTTCCAGGAGGCGCCTGTGGAGATGTATCCAGGTTAAATGTGGTGGTGGTTCCAACAAACAAACAGTTTGTCAGGAGACATGTTCTGGGCTGGACAGATGTAGGTACATGTTCATGCCGAAGAAATACCTCTGGATTAAAATGCCGCCAGTAATTTATGACTTTAATTGGCTTTATCTAAAAAGAAATCAGTGTATTACTAAATAAACACACACACACACACACACACAGTAGCAGATGCCTGGAAGCACTGCATACTCTGCTTTGTTGTAAATAACAAAACTGCAGTATAATTTTAGTCTTACCTTTTTGATGTACTGGTAACAGACATCAAACAAATGATCAAGAAAAGGCAGCGTTTGGGAAAATGACTAATCACATTATCAAAAAAGTTGGTACACTTTGTACACCAGATATTAACCCTTGTGCGGTCCTTCGCATTTTTGTACACACCGTTTGTCCTTGCAATGATTTCCATCTTGTCCCAGAATATATCCCAGAGTATTAATGAATATGAGGAAAAGTTGGCACAAGTCATGCAGTACAGGAACATGCACACGCACGCATACTCATGCACGCACACACAGACACAAAGACATATTGGATATTGGACTTTACAAGGGTTAACTAAAATATGCACACTGTTGTTGAAGTCAAGATGTGTCTTGCAACAACATTGTTGCATGGAAGTTAATATGATGTCACATCAATGACAAAATTCTCCACAGGAACTTCAGGTAAACTGTTTACTTCTGTCAGGTCTTACTGTTTCCTGTTCCTGCTGTCTGCTATGTGGGGTAACCTGTTATCACACTCAACTGGGTCTCTGCAATTAGCCTCACTTGTGTCACCTGGTGCTCCTTGCATATATACACTATATTACCAAAAGTATTCGCTCACCTGCCTTGACTCATACTATGAACTGAAGTGCCATCCCATTCCTAACCCAGAGTTCAATATGATGTCGGTCCACCTTTTGCAGCTATTACAGCTTCAACTCTTCTGGGAAGACTGTCCACAAGGTTGAGGAGAGTGTTTATAGGAATTTTTGACCATTCTTCCAAAAGCGCATTGGTGAGGTCACACACTAATGTTGGTCGAGAAGGCCTGGCTCTCAGTCTCCGCTCTAATTCATCCCAAAGGTGTTCTATCGGGTTCAGGTCAGGACTCTGTGCAGGCCAGTCAAGTTCATCCACACCAGACTCTGTCATCCATGTCTTTATGGACCTTGCTTTGTGCACTGGTGCACAGTCATGTTGGAAGAGGAAGGGGCCCGCTCCAAACTGTTCCCACAAGGTTGGGAGCATGGAATTGTCCAAAATGTTTTGGTATCCTGAAGCATTCAAAGTTCCTTTCACTGGAACTAAGGGGCCAAGCCCAGCTCCTGAAAAACAACCCCACACCATAATTCCTCCTCCACCAAATTTCACAGTCGGCACAATGCAGTCTGAAATGTACCGTTCTCCTGGCAACCTCCAAACCCAGACTCGTCCATCAGATTGCCAGATGGAAAAGCGTGATTCATCACTCCAGAGAACGCGTCTCCACTGCTCTAGAGGCCAGTGGCGGCGTGCTTTACACCATTGCATCCGACGCTTTGCATTGCACTTGGTGATGTGTGGCTTGGCTGCAGCTGCTCGGCCATGGAAACCCATTCCATGAAGCTCTCTGCGTACTGTACTTGGGCTAATCTGAAGGTCACATGAAGTTTGTAGCTCTGTAGCAATTGACTGTGCAGAAAGTCGGCGGCTTGCTTGATTTTATACACCTGTGGCCAGGCCAAGGGATTAGGACACCTGATTCTGATCATTTGAATGGGTGAGCGAATACTTTTGGTAATATAGTGTACCTCTCTCCCTCACTCAGGCCTTGTGGGATCATTGGGCTCTGTATTGTCCGTGTCTGTGTTGTGTCGAGCATTATGTTGTAGCTGTTCATAGTCTGTTCCTGGTCAAGTCTATTCTGCTCTGCTCAGCTCTGTGTATGCTTCTGTCCTGGTTTTTGGAATTTTGATCTTTGAAATAAACTACCTGCACCAGTCCTGCATTTGGGTCCTGCCTGCTTCCTGCCATGTCGATGGCTCATCGTGACAACTTCAGAAAACACAAATCAACCGTTGTACAAATGGGGGGGGGGGGGGGGGGGGACAAAAAAAAAATCCAAAACGTTAACATTTTTTCACACATTTTAAATTGCATAAATCAAACATGGATAACCATTTAACATATTTATAATCATATTGTTCATTAACCAAAATGTATATTTAGGCACCTTTTTTCAAAAATAATAAATTTGCCAGGCTTTCTTGATCTTAGTATTATTTACAGTTGTTTGATATAACCAAAAATTGTTAAATGGCATTGAGTTTTCTGACAAAAGGACAAAAAAAAAAGATGATTTTGCAGACCAACTGACTTCTTTTTGTTTATAACAAACAATGTTACAAATTGATGTCTAAAACAATTTTAGTAATCAAGATTTAAGAGCATCAGCCAAGGTCTTTTTATTAGTTGTTTTACCGAATATTTTTCTGGGTTTATAACTTTGTGCTAAAGCTTACAGGAGGCTTTTCTGAATGATCTTCGTTAAAACAATTAACAGGATAGCCTTTTTTAGTTAAATAAACAAAGGTTAGTCAGTAAGTTCCAAAAAGTAACAAATTGCAGAGCAGAATAAGCTCAGGACCAGGTTCTTCTGCACTGTCGAATGAAGGACTGAACCGAGGGGCAGCTGACCTCCCTCTCCAGAGCAGGGAAGATGGAAGGCTGATAGCCATAGGCACACTGAAACGGAGAGAGTCCTGTAGCAGAACTGGTAAGGGTGTTGTGTGTGTATTCCACCCACAGGAGATGTTCGGACCAGTTGGAAGGGTGCTCTGATGTGAGGCAGCGGAGGGTGGTTTCCAGAACCTGGTTCATCCTCTCAGCCTGCCCATTGGACTGGGGATGGAACGCCGAGGTGAAACTTACGGTGGAGCCGATTAGTGAGCAGAACTTCTTCCAAAACACTGAGGTAAACTGGGGACCCCGGTCTGAAACTACATCCAGAGGGAGGCTATGGATCCTGAAGACATGGTGAAGGACCAGCTGTGCAGTCTCATTGGTCAAGGGGAGCTTGGGCAAGGCAACAAAATCTTGTTAAACCGGTCGACAATAGTTAGAATGGCCGTGTGGCCCCCCGAGGGTGGCAAACCAGTAACAAAGAGATGTGGGAGCATGGACAGTGGGGAACTGGTAAGGGCTGAAGCAGTCCAGCAGGAGCAAGGTTGGATCTTGATTTACCGGTCAATCTACATTCCTACCCTCAACTATGGTCATGAGCTTTGGGTCATGACCAAAAGAACAAGACCCCGGATACGAGCGGCTGAAATGAGCTTTCTCCGCAGGGGTGGCAGAGCGCTCCCTTATACAGGCCCAAAAGTATTTGGACAGTGACACAAGTTTTGTTATTTTAGCTGTTAACAAAAACATATTCAGGATACAATTATATAATAAGTATCAGC